GGTCCCCGGGCAGAGAGGGTGCCCCTCATGGCTATGGAGGTCAAGGTTTCCAGCCCCTCCAACATGGAGCCTGGCCCCCCCATGGAGAGTTGAGTTCCCCACGGGTAAAGTGGGTTCGACTTGTTGGGGGGGGGGGGGTGGTTGGGGCTCTGTAGAGTGGTGAATCAAGCCCAGTGGCAGCGTGGGGAATAAGGTGGGGCAGGCTCTTTCCCCTGTGTGCGCATGCGTAGTGCTGCTACTCCCCTCCGTCTGCAAGCCCACCCACTCCTTGGGTTCATCCTCGCGGGCTTTTGTCGCACCTGCTCCCAGGATGGTTGGTGGGGGAGCTAGTAGTCTTCGATAAAGTGAAACAAGCCAGGGTCAGTGGTGCCGGGGTTTACGGTCAGGCCCCCGTTTGATGGTTGGTGGATAAATATAGTTCTAGAAGGCCGTGCAAAAAGGCTCCCACAGCCGGCGCAGTGGAGATGCCCTGAAACGGTGCGTGTTCGATAGGGCTCATACCAATCCCTTTTTTGGGGAAAGAGAAGGAAAAGGAGCTGTGCAAAAGCTCCCACAGCTGGTGCAGTTGAAGCTGCCCTTAAACAATGCGATGGGGCTCATACCAATCCTTTTTGGGGAAAGAAGGAAAAGGAGCAGTGCAAAAGCTCCCACTGATGGTGCAGTGAAGCTGCCCTGAAAACGTTGCGTGTTCGATGGGGCTCATAACAATCCCTTTGTGGGAAAGAGAGACAGAGAAAGCGCCACACTGCATGTGGGTCTCTTTCCCTCCAGCGGTGGTCTTGGACGGTCATGGTCTAATGTGCACTCTGTTTCAACGTCTACAGCCGGCTCTCGTTACACCTGTCAGCCGTTCACAAGGTGACCAACTCGGACGAGAAGAGGCTTTTGCTCGCTCTCGCCACTGGCCGCGTGGACACACAGAAGACGCTGTGCCTGGTGGCCGGCTGTCGCAGAACGGTTGCTTGCCTAGACAGGCACTTGAAGCAGCATGCAGAGCTCTCTGCCTTTTTTCATTAGGCTTAAAGATTCACGAAACCCTAGAGTACTTTTTTTGAGATTTTAACAGATTTGAGTGTCTTGAGCATCAGTTAGGACAATGTTAGCACCCTTTAGCTTTAATTGTGGGGAAAACCGGGTAAATTTCAGCTTTTGTCAGCTAATTTCAGCTTTCGGGATTAAAAGGATTTTTGGGGCGGGATCAAAATCGGCCACGTAGCGCAGAACTGCAAGTGCAAAGATGACGCATCAGTTTCTCATTATTATTCATAGCGGAGTTTTCTTATCCTATGAGAAGAGCCGGCTTCTTAAATATTCATGAGAGCATGTGCTTTCCGAAGACAAAGCAGAACTGGCTGCCAGTCCCAAGCTCAGCTGTGAAATCCTACGTTGATGACTGGGTGAGACGCGTCAGCAGATCCATGGCACACAGTATTTAGCCGTTCATGAAGGCTCGTATGTATTTGTTTCCATGATCCACAGGGTTTGTTGCATGTGTTTCCCCGCGATTCTGTCAGGGCCAATACAGCAAAGTTGTGTGTGCTGCAAGCATTTTTGTCGGGAGAGCAGTACGAGAATTGGAGAATGGTGGACTTTTGTCTTTTATCAGGAGTTCGTTCACATTTAATACCGTACTGCTGTGTTCACCTAAATCCTCCTGATTACCAGCAGGTTAAAATAGACATGGCAGGGACCTGCTTCACTGAGTCTGCATTTAGACCAGGGGATTGAGGGAAAAGTCCTCATTAAGTGTTTATATGAACACGATTATCTTTATAATGATATAAATTGTGATTATGTGTGTATGAAATTACAAATGTAGCAGGGCATTAAATTACTGTTTATTTATTTGCATTTTAACTTGTGAACCGACTGACAGTTGCTCGCTCCCCTCCTTCTCCCCTGCTCTGCTGACTATGCTTACTCCTGCCCTTTGCTCGGGGAGCTCCAGCAAAGAGCATAGAATCACCAAGAGGCGACACTCTAGTGCAATATGGGAAACAGCCGCTAGATGTTGCAGCGGCCATTTTGGAATGAAAACTCCAATAGATCAACAGCACATTAGAAGTCTATAAAATAAACTATTAAAAGTGTTAATAATTGTGATAGGAAGTGTTGTATTGTCGTCTTTCAGGTTGTAGCTCCTCTTTAATGCACTTTTTAAATAAATAAATAAAAAACAAAGTAGCTGCTTGCAATCGCAGCAATAAGATCCAATGGACAGCCGATTACTTTCACTCTAAAATGGTGGAATCCGGGACTGTTGCTGGCCGCTAATGTTGCAATGGAACGTTCTATTGAGTGTCGCCTCTTGGTTATTCTAAGCTCTTTGGCTCCACGCCCACTATGATGCATCTTTTTTTTTTTAAATTCTGAGGTGGACCTGAACCGAAAGTGGGGGTGTCATGACCCTTTAAGTAATATTGCCATTTTCTGAGATTTCATTAGATGTAAGCCGCAATCATCAAAATAAAAAGAAGTAAACAGAAATATCAGTCAATGTGTAACAAATCTATTTATGAGTTTCACTTCTTTAATTGAAATACTGAAATTACAACTACAATTATTACAACTTTTTGATAACATTGTAATTCATTGAGATGCACCTGTAAATTGATGAGAACTTTATTATATACTTTACATTATACAACTTGATATTATATTTTGACCGTTTTCTTGTTAAAGTAACGCTCCACTTATGTTGTATAATCTACTGCAGTACTAGTGTACAAACATTTTTCACCTTGTCACATTAGGCAAGCCTTCATCTTGTCACCAAAGATCACTGTTACTTGTGTTGGAAATTCCTAGCTCTCCATTGAAACAGGAGCTGGAACATGTTACAATGTTGTTGGCAGTTTGAAAGCAACTTTATTATGTAAAGACAACTAATTAACAAATTAATCTATTGTTTTTCCAGAATGCAGAGTGCTCGCTGTAGAAGAAAATAAATGAATTGACCAAGCAGAAAGACATTGATGTGTTAAAAAAATGAAAATGCATAAAGGTGAGTTTTTTATTCATGTTTTAGCCTAATTTGCAGAGACAACTACAATTTAGCCATTCATATGTTTATTAGTGTTTTTGTTTTTTGAATGTTTTCCAGAATGCAGAGGCCTTGCAGCAGATGATGATGCTTTCATGGCAAGACTGAAAAAAATAAATAAATTGTGTTTATTTTAAAATGTGTCATGTCTGTTTCTATATAGATTTAATTTATAATGCCTCTATACATTTAGAACAAATCATATGATCCTAACATTGTTTTATCTATAGATGTCTTCTCAAGGATTGAAAATTAGACTACAGTAGTTGAGCCAGCACTTTTTTTCACTGATTAGTATATTTTGTTTGTTTATTAAATAGCTGTAGTGCAACATTTGGTTGTACCTTCTTTTAGCTCCTAGTGTAAATATATCCCTTTTATTAATACAGTATAAATCTCATACATGTACCTTCTGCTAACATTTTGTTTAAATGGCATATACTGCTAATACTTAGTGTAAATTGCATCCACTATCTATTAACACTTAAGTGTACTGTAAACAGCATTTACTGTTTATATAGTATGTAGTGTAAATACGTTTTTACACTAAAATGGCATAAATAATAAAATTTAGTTTATCAAGTCCTGTACTGCAAATAGTGTATGATTCATTTTTATTGTAAATAGCATCATACTTTTAGTAACATTGCAATAGCATCTACCTACTATAAACACTAAAAGTGTAAATGGTATATACTTTATAAGCAATGAGTGCAAATAGCATATACCATACTTTTTGTTGCTATATTGTGAAGCATCTGATGCTATTTGAACTTAGTGTAAATCGCATCTTTTGCTATTTGTACTTAGTGTAAATCGCATCTTTTGCTATTTGTACTTAGTGTAAATAGCATCTCTTGCTATTTGTACTTAATGTAAACAGCATCTCTTGCTATTAGTGTAAATAGCATCTCTTGCCATTTGTATTTAGTGTAAATAACATCTTTTGCTATTTGTACTTAGTGTAAATAGCATCTCCTGCTATTTGCACTTAGTATAAATAGCGTCTCTATTTGCACTAAGTGCAAATAGCCGCTGTTGCCATTTTCACTTAGTGCAAATAGCCACTGTCCAACTGAATTTTTTTTTTTTACAGAATCTATTTCTCCACAGTATTTTGCTGTTCTAAGAACACAATGGCCCGACTATTTTATATCAGTTCCACTGGTGCCCAAATGTGCTGCACACTGCAGGCTCTTAAAAAAACAGCCTATTGTAGTGTTTTCTGAGTCAAATTGTTTGCATGTGATTGTCCAAATTGCTAAACAGAGACGCTATTACAGTTTTCCCTGTCGAGAATGGCAGTCTGTCTCAGCCCATGGAATCTGCAAATCATTTAAATCAACAGGAATATGGGGCTATTGGTATGAATTCAATTTTATTTTATTTGCAAATTAATTTTTAAATGAATTTTATGTTCTGTATCATGTTTAATACTTTTAAAGGAATTAACCATTGAACATTTCATTCAAAAATAGTTTCCATATAATTGTTATTGTGTATGTGAAACTGTTATTAGTCAGGGTCAAATATGCTAATTAGCCTGTCATTTCTTAAGAACTGCGTCGGTATAGTGGCGTCTTAAAGGGATAGTTCTCACAAAAAGAAATCGAGTGTGTTGCTGTGTCGCTGGTGCTTTATTTAACGCTCCAGTTAGATCTGTAAATAATTTGCATTGGTTATGATAATAATTACAATAAGTATATACCTCCAACCAACCTCGAAAGTTAAACTTACCAAGTTGCCTATATACTTTCTTAAGTTCTCTACCTGACTTAGTAAGCATAGAACATAAGTGAATTTTAGGCAGGATAACAATAACCAGAATTAAATTCTGGGGCTTTGTTCAGTACATCCACGCATGCATTTCAAGTCTAAGCGCAAAATTTGGGGTGACAAGCGTGACATCTGTTTTATAAAGAAAACCATGCTAGTTTGGAACATGTCCATTTTGAGGTGAACTGTCTCTTTAAACGTTTCAGCTAAAGGGGAAGTTAAACTCTTGTCGCTTTTTTGACAACACCGAATGCCATTTCCAGCTTGTGTCTGTTGTTATATCGATAAATAAATGTGCAGCGATGACTCAATAAACCGCTGATCGATCAATTTAATGCGGTGAAATGTTAGGGCTGTATATCAAGCTAACGATGCTAAGCTAACACCAGTTGATCTGATGTGTTCCTACGTTGGGTGAATGTGTGACTCTTCACCTTTCCTGGGATTAAACATCTGCAATTTCAGCTGATACGGGATTTGTTTTTATACTCCATACTTGCATTTCAAAATTTAAGGATGGAGACGTTTGAAAGCGGTAAGGTTCCAGCTAATATGGACTGTTTATCTGTGTACGCCAGGTCGTGCACTGCAAAAAGTTGCCAGCTAACATGCTACATCTGGCCGCATAATGCTTTTTATGTAACGATATTATGCAAGCAAATGTTATAAAGCATTGCTTTTGGATTTTGCTAAGTTGTTTGTATCATGGCCCTGGTTCTGTGCCAATGATTACTTTAGCTATGGAGCTGTTTTGGGTAAGTAATCATAGATAACGTATATACAAAGTTTCAATGGCTAACTTGAGCTTCTTGAAGTTCATATGGTGCTTCAACGGACAGGACCTCTGAATAGATTAAAACAGTCTAGTGTTTTATAAGTAGGAGGGAATACCAGTAAATTAAATCAATGGCTTGTTTGTTGTGGTTACTGTTATTCATGTGATGTCTGCATTCACACTCAGCACTCACATATGACTTTATATGCCCTTAAAGTAAATACATCAGTCAGTCTACTTGCATCAATCTTAAGTTTCCTAAAAGCCCCAAGGTTCATGTTTGCATAAAATCTTGCAATAATGTCTCCAAGATGACATTTGGTGCTTTGTGTCTTTATGGTCTTGCCTAAATTTGACAGATGGTCAGCTGGCAGTCACTTTGGTAACTGTCTTTTGCTATGTTCTATTTAGTTAACATAAAAAGAGTTTAATCTAACAGCCCCTGAATTTATCTGTCTGTCAGCAGTAGAGAAAAAAAAGTCTTCCGTTACTTGCTTTTGTTGGCTTCCTGAATGAAAGTTGTCTCTATTCAGTATGTATGAACGTTGGAATGAATACAAATGCTTAAACCAGTTACCTAAAAGAGCAGCAGTACAGTGTACAACAGACCCCAATTTAACCTCAGGTCAGAAGGTATAGCACATCAGTGCTTTCAAGAGCTAATTTGATAAGTGTTTACTCAAGTGCCTTGATTTAAGTACATTTAGTATTATTCTCTTGTGAACAAGCAAATAAAAGAGGAACTCTTGTGGTATTTTTATTTTCCACCAATGTATTGAGAAATCTTTAGAAATACAGTTAAAAAAAGAAAGCTAACATTCAGGCCATACAATTTCAATCTAGCTTTAGCTTGAACTGGTTTTCTTGGTGTTTTATAAAATACAAATCAACGGCTATAATAACGTAGAGTCAGATTATATATTATTGAGGTCTGAATTAAATGTGACAGTATTGTAAATTGAGTTTGAGACAGATTGTACTGCTTCATAAGACCTTGATGTACTGCCATAAGTCATGGATATTAATTTGTTTTGTCTATATGGTTTTGATCACAAAGTGTCAACATTAAGTTCCATTTTCTTTATCACCAAGGACCACAATTGTAGCAAAAAAAAAAATAAAAAATCTTAATTTATTTTCTACAAAATAATAACAATAATAATAATCACGTACATCTTAGATGGCTAAAGGGTGAGTAAATTAACAGCAACATTTTTATAATCTGAGCAAACTATCTCTTTATGGAAACACATTGTTGGCAGCATTGAATATGTTTTATGAAATATGTTATACTGTATGGCAACTTGTGGTCTTAGCTAGAAGGATTTACTGGAACAATCATAACATGTATATGCATGAAGTGATTTGCCTTTTATGCTTAGTTTCACTTTCATTTGTTTTCTGCTTTTTACTCTCTGACAAAAACAACTTGTGGCTTCCTACAAAAACACTCAACTTTGCAGATACAGTGGGTGAAATAAGTATTAAACACTTCATGATTTTTCCTGGTATATATATTTCTAAAGGAACTGCTTACATGAAATAAACTATATATATATATATATATATATATATATATATATATATATATATATATATATATATATATATATATATATATATATATATATATATATATTTGTATATTTTATCCATAAATGAGTATAATAATAATAATGGAACAATACAAGGAGAAAGTACTGAACTACTTAAATTTATTAAATACACATGTATAAAAGACTTTTTTTGACTTTTTTAATCGGCTTCTTGCAGTATGTTGAGAATGAAGTCGCTAACATTTTTTCCCATACTTTAAGAGTCAAGTCTTGAGTGCTCTGTGGGTCTAGTACTTATTTTCTATCTAATTCAAGTCAGATGATTGGCTGGGCCTTTATATAGCAGGTTATATTCTTTTCTGAAACCAATTGAGAGTTTTATTGGCTGCATTTTGGATCGTTGTCTTGCTTAAATATCCACCCTGGTTTATTAGTCATCATCCTGGTAATGCAGATTCTGCTAATACTCATTTACACTGACAAGAGTTAAGTTTTCATTTTTAACTGCTGGCAGATTTCAGCTGCTGTCTGGGCATTACATGCTTTTTTACACCTCCCTTTTCTCATGCGTTTTATAATGTGTCCCTCTGTCATTTTCGTTTTATTACATATAACTTAAGTTCCAAAGTTTTCATTTTATGCATGGATTACTTCAACTGTTACTATCATCTGGCGAAAACTTCAAGAATTTAGAAACATGCTTTCTAAGAACGAACCTGAAGTGTTCAATACTTCTTTTTTTACCCACTGTTACTTGTCTTTATCTTGTCAACATGAAGCCACTTTCAAAAACTATCGGTTTGTAACCACTTGTCTTTTCTGTAACCTACAGAAAGAGCTCCACTGCCCAGGAACATGATCGAGAACAGCATGTTTGAGGAAGAGCCAGATGTAGTGGATTTGGCAAAAGAGTCCCCATCCTATCACATCGACTCAGATGATGTAACCTATGAACCCCGCAGTTCACGACTGTTGGTACGAGGGCTTGGAGAAAATGACATGGATGAAGACGAGGAAGATTATGAATCCTCTGCCCGTCTTCTTGGCATGTCCTTTATGAACCGCAGCTCCAGTCAGCGCAGTGCTGCTTCTTCCTACACCCGCCAGCAACCTTCCAACTCATGTTCACCGCTCTCAACCAAGACTACAGCGGTAGGCGTTCTCATCCTGGTGCTGGTGGTCTCCATGTTCATGGTCATCTACTTTGTACCAAGCTGCACTTTCACCAAGAAGGGCTGTCAGAAGAGCAACTCAAGCATGAGCAGCATCTATCCGATTTCCACAAGCGGAGAACTTTTCCCATGGACTGACCTGAGGTTACCAGTCAGCGTGCATCCTGTGCATTATAATATTTCACTTCATCCTGACCTAAACTCAATGACTTTTCAAGGCAATGTGTCCATTGTAGTTCTAGTCATGCACGAGACGAAGAATATTATTCTACACAGTTCGGATATGAACATAATCAAGGTCACTTTTGACGATAAAGAGTACCGCTTCCTGGAGTACAAACCATGGCAGCAGATCGCCATCAAGTTTCCAGAAGATCTTAAGAAGGGGCAATATGTCTTGAAATTTTCCTACAAAGCAAACCTCTCCAACAGCTATGATGGCTTTTACAACAGCTCCTATGTCGACACAGCTGGTACAAAGAGGTATTTGCTGCCTGGCCAAAAAATGACAATTCAGAAAAATATTTAGCTTTTTTGTGCTGATTAATAATTACTTCTGCTTTGTTAAATATTTATGCTTCTGAGACACTTTCTCTAACTCAAAATGTCTTTCTTCTAGAGTTTTGGCCGCTACTCAATTTGAGCCTCTGGCAGCCCGCAAAGCTTTCCCTTGTTTCGATGAGCCAGCCTTTAAATCAACTTTTGTAGTTAAAATGACCAGAGAAGCCAAATATATCAGCCTTTCAAACATGCCCAAGGTGCTTATAAGTAAATGTGTATTCATTCATTTCTTGATCCGTTTATTTATTTAAAGGGTAATATATATATATATATATATATATATATATATATATATATATATATATATATATAATTGCTAATTTGATAATGGTTGTAAACTGCATTTGTGCATTTTAACCTGCTTTTCAGCCATCTATTTTTGAAGACTATTTAAAAATTATAATTACAAATACATCTTTAATAATATTTTAAAGACTTTTATTTTTATTTTTATTTTTTTAAATTTTATTACTTTTATTTATTTTTTATTTTTTTACATACATAAACTACATATTCATTTTTAATATAAAAATTACATGAAAAAAAAACATGTTTTCACAGTTCTTTCACTTTTTAGCTTAGTTTTAGGTATATAGTTTTCCAAATTCTCATTTTTAGAATAGACATGTTTTATAATTGTTTTGGTTATTATTTTTCTTTAGATCAAAACCACAGATTTGAATGAAAATGGCCTTCAGGAAGATGAGTTTGAGAGTAGTGTAAAAATGAGCACTTACCTGGTTGCGTTTATCGTAGCTGAATTCAGCAGTCACAGTAAAAACGTCTCTAAAACTACGGTATGTATTTCTCTCAAAATAATTTTCTTGTTTAGAAAAATATGGAAGCGTGATGGTATAGTTTATCTTTTCAAATGTTGTGCAGGTGTCGGTGTATGCTGTTCCAGACAAAAAGGACCAAGTGCATTATGCTTTGGAGACAGCTTGTAAACTGTTGAAGTTCTACAATACGTTCTTTGAGATAGAATACCCTTTAAGCAAACTAGGTAAAACGCCTTTTCTTATGTAGACTTTTCAAACAGGGATTATTAGGTTTCTAGAATAGCCAGATGAGCATGCATGCTAATGTCATTTGTACAAATAAGCAATTTAAAAGTCTTGACATGGCTGAGATTTCTTTCTTTTTCTTTTTTTCTTTTTTAAATCAATAGATTTAGTGGCCATTCCTGACTTCCTCGCTGGAGCCATGGAAAACTGGGGGCTAATCACATTCCGCGAGACAACTTTGCTAGTAGGCAACCAATCCTCTCGCTTTGACAAGCAACTAGTGACCTCAGTCATTGCTCATGAACTTGCCCACCAGGTAATTTGCTTTATTAAAAAAAATATTCTCATGACAGGATACTAAAAGTCACATTTAGCACATGATTTTAAAAGGTCAAATTAAGTCTACCTATAAAAAACCCCCGCATTTTTAACATGTGGGAAGTATTGCTTTTAAAGGGTTAGTTCACCAAAATTGAACATTTACTTTTTATTACTGGTTTCAAACCTTTAAGATTTATTTTATTCAGTTGAATACTTAAGAAGATTATCTTGAAGAAAGCTGAAAACCTTTAACCATTGACTCCCATAGTAGAAAAGAAATACGATGGACAGCAATGGTTCTAGGTTTCCAGAATAAAGAAAGTTAATCAGATCTAAAACAAGTAAAAGTTTAGTAAATGATGACAGAAGTAAAATAATTTTGGTGAGCTATTTCTTTAACAGCTAGTTTTATTGAAGTTTATTAAAGTATTGTTGTTTAATGTGCACATTTTACAGGTTTTTCTTTCAGAAAAAAGTTTGGCATTCACCCCAAATGATTGTGCTTGTCAGCCATTTTGTGTTTATTTTGTCATATAGTATATTTTTCCATTTCAGTGGTTTGGAAATCTGGTTACTATGAGATGGTGGAATGATCTTTGGCTGAATGAAGGATTTGCAACCTACATGCAGTACATGTCCATTGAAAATGTCTTCCCAGATCTTGACATTGTAAGTTTACATCTAAAGCCCTGTTCACACTGTGAGATTTCAGCCACGATTTGGTCATTTGAGAAAAATTTGGGAAATTCTAAAAGATTCCTAAAATTGTAGGCTAAAAGCTGTGATCATTGATCGTTGTTTTGACATTTTCACAGACAACCGCTTAATGCTGTTGCGATCAGATTTTTCCTCCGATTAAGTTCTGGCAGTGTCAAAAGATTTCAGACACTTTCCTGCAGTGGGACAAAAAGCTTCAATGAGCGTCAGTCCAAGAACCAATAGGAGCACAGAATCCTCAATCGCAATCCTCGCGACATTTCAAATGACCACAGGGAAATGTCAAAACAGTTTTTTTCTTCCTGGTTTTATTGTTGAGGCACACTGCAAAATTGCCGCTACAGATAGATTACGTCTGCGATGAGCAATCATTTTATAACATAGCATAGTGAAAGTGTCACAGATTGTTGATGTCAAACTCCAGGGGCGTCATGTATCAATGCTGCGTATGCACAAAAACTTTGCATACACTAGATTTCACGCTTCCATTTTAAATTTACTAGCGATGAAATTAACGTGAGAATGTGCGTTGGTCCGCGCCAACTTCATGTCTGGTGTACGTTTATTTCTTGTGTGTGTTTATTTCGATTGGAGATTCCTAGAGTCAATTATGTTATATGCACACTACAAAGTGCACCAAGGCACTTGAAAAACAATAATTTATAAGTGATAAAATGGGTAAATTGACACTTTTTTTTTTTACCAGTTATGTGATTTAGAACATAAAAATATATGCAAATGTATACAACCCTTAGTTTATGGCAATGGCCTTATTAGAGGACATTGTCAATGGTCGAATCTGTAGGAAAAATAAACATTAAAGCGCAATTTCCAGCGATCGCCGGTTTTCCTAATGTAATTGGAGTGATTGACTGCAAGCACATTGCTATAAAGACCATCTGAAGACGAATTTGCATACATAAATCGGAAACCTTGCCAAAGAAATAAAATGCCAGTGGCACTGCCTTGATAAGAGCAGAGGGATGCTGCTATACTTTCACCAACAAAGTGTTCCTCTAATACATCTATATATAATACATATAAATATAATACATATATATATATATATATATAATACATATATGTATAGTCACTTTTTATTTTATTACACTTTTTCTATTTTATTTTTCTTTTACTTTAAAAAAAAAAAAAAACATTCTAGTATAAATCCAATTGAATTTCAGATGAGATATATACAGGTTTTACAGAGTTTTTGTTTAGCAAGTTTCTAACAGGCAACTAGTTTTAACATAGTTTTAAAGAAATTTGTTGATCTGTGACACTGCAATATCTACAATTCTTCTATTTTTTTAGTTCTTTTTATTTTCTGAATACAGTTAATTTTAGGAGATTTACACGTGTTGTTCAATCTGTTTATTTACTTTAACATGTTTCTGAATTAAATTATGAAACTTTTTTCTAAGGCAACAGAATCTAAACTTTATTTGACCTATTACAAAATCCAGTATTTCTTAGCTTTATAAAGACGACCTGTTGGAATGCATGTTATTGAAAATGCCTATATTTGTGTTTTTCAGGACATTGAATTCTTAAATGTGCGTTTTAAAGCTCTGGCCAAAGATGCGCTGAACTCGTCCCATCCAGTGTCTACTTTTGTGAGCACACCAGAGCAGGTGGAAGAGATGTTTGACTCTGTTTCTTATGAGAAGGTATGTCATAAATTATCTTGTTGTGAAGTGACTTCAGTTAACCCTTCTTCTTAACAGTGTCTCGGTGTCATCGTTTGTCATTGACGGTTTTCATGCCATTGATAGCCACATGACCATTGCGATTAACTTGGTGGGCAAAAAAATTAAATAAATTACAGTGGATCGTAACGACAGCTACACTGGAATCTCCTTAGAAACGCAGTGCTCATGTTTTCATCTATGTAAAGTTATGAATATTTTGATCACTTATCAACAATACAAGGCAAGGCAGTGGCACAGTAGGTAGTGCTGTCTCCTCACAGCAAGAAGGTTGCTGGGTCGCTGGTTTCTGTGTGGAGTTTGCATGTTCTCCCTGCCTTCGCGTGGGTTTCCTCCGGGTGCTCCGGTTTCCCCCCACTGTCCAAAGACATGCGGTACAGGTAAATTGGGTAGGCTAAATTGTCCGTAGTGTATGAGTGTGTGCGTGAATGTGTGTGTGGATGTTTCCCAGAGATGGGTTGCGGCTGGAAGGGCATCCGCTACATAAAAACTTGCTGGATAAATTGGTGGTTCCTTCTGCTGTGGCGACCCCAGATTAATAAAGGGACTAAGCTGACAAGAAAATGAATGAATGAATGATCAACAAAACAAAACAGAGATATGATCACAAACTGTAAAATATGGGCACTTCCGAATCATATACTCAACCAGCAACCATTTAAAACCCTCATGTCCCTATCACAGCTCCAATTCAACTCTAATAGACCCTTTTCACATTTCCAGGTTTCTCAGTAGCAGAAGTCGTCATAGTTGGGAAAACTTGGAGCGCAGTAAATGGGAGAATACAACAAAGAATTTTTTTACAATCTTATTTGCTCAAATAATAAAAGAAAAACTCCACAATGGGGTTATAAAGACTTTCAGAAAAAGGAAAATGTTTGAGACTGACACTGCAAGAAGAGAAAATAACATCATATTTACTGTTCCTTCTCATAGACACTACATTAGAAGTGCCTCACATAAGTGGTAATTTGTTTTTTGTCGTTTGAAGCAAAGATTAAATACTATATGCATATATACTTTACATATAAACATTCTTACGTTTTTAATTTAAATCTAAATATTAAAAACTGTCTAGTATTTAAGATGCTGATGACTGTTAAACACTTTATAACAGGCTTGTGAAAAGGGTCCATCCTCAGCAATTTAGTTATTGGAGGTGGCGTTATGCTGTCTGTTTTTAAATTTGGTAGTTTACTTCACTTAGATTTATATTTACTGGTAATCTATTCATTCACGTCTACTGTTTTTACTTAGACTTCAATTTATACTTTAATTGTACAAAACTTGCAAATTTGAATTGAAACTTAATAAAAAGCATGCAAACAAACTGACAGTTATAGGTATCGTAGATTGTTATGGGACAATGATGCTACAATTCAGGAAAAATACATAAAATTCTTCTTTCTGGCTGTTCTGTCCATGATGTACAACCTAAACTTGTCTCCTCATTGCTTTGTAATACTATATCTTATTCTACAACAGTTATCAAGAATAAAGGAGTACAAAATCCCACCGGATTCAGATTTAAAGCCACTATTAGAAGGCTCATCCTTAACAAATGGCAAGCAAAATAGGATTAGTGCTCTGAATATTAACTTTGTGAAATCCAGCCAGTGGTAAAAAGAAAATTTAACAATTCTTTTTTTTAACTCAAGACATGATAAGAATGTTTACACAAGATGCCTTATTGGACACACGAGACTCACTCATGAACATTTGCAGAACAAGAAGTTCCCTGAACATGTCAGTGTTGCAACACAAACCATATGCTTTTAAAGAACCCTATTTTTAATGCTATATGGAGAGACTTTAATGAGAATCCTTCAAAAATAGCACAATTTCTATCAAAAGTTAACCTTAAAATGTTTTTTGATCGTATGTATTATTATTATTTATGTATTTTTTCCTATGTATTTTATGTTGCTGTTAATGTCTTTTTATTGTTATAAGTTTTTTTTTTAACATAGAAAAGAGATGTTGTAAATTTGATTTAGTTTTGGCATAAAATAGCCAGTGAAGCTGATACAGCAATAAATTCAAATATCTCTCTCTCTCAGGCACAACCAAACAAAAAAGTAATGGCAAAAGCAAGCAAAGAGAAACTTTGAACAGAATGTGAATTGGGGGTGCTCCTTACGGAGGTAGACCAGAGAAAAACAGGGTTATTTGCAAGTTTGTCCTTCGGAATTAATAACAAAAGAAAAAAAACTGAGTGGGAGATTTAGCTGACGCGGTTAACGCAGTTGGGTCTAAATATTGCACTGTTAGTGAATTTAAAAAGAAATGGTCTGATGTAAAGGTGTAAAATTTTGTTGTGTCTATTTAGGCTAAGTGCAAATAGCATACCTTGTTGGACTAAGCTAGTTGAGTGATTCCCACACTTTACCATTTGATTGACAGAGACAACATAACTAAAGAGGGTGACAAACAGCAACGTGAGTGGCGTACCCCGTAAAGTGCATGGCAACATGTTTTAACACGTTCGATCATAAAACCGGTTTGAATCCAGCGTCTGATGAACTCATTCGCCTTTCCCCCACCGCATATCAGATTTTGCCTACTCTTCATCACGAAGAAGACAAGTAGGAATCATTAATAAGTGTGTGTATTATGTTAAGCGCATTTGAGCATCACATATTATTTGCACATTTATTGAATTGAAATGTTTGATTCACGTATGCAAATTCATCTTCAGATGCCGCCTTTTATAGCAATGTGCGTGCAGTCAATCGATCTGCTTAGATTGGGAAAACCGGCGATCGCTGCAAATTGCACTTTAATGTTTGGCTTGTCAACTTCATGGTATGGAAACCTTATATACCTGCTAGACATGCGGATGATCCCGTCCCATACAGCTGCCATTGCACGGCTTGTAGCGTGAAATTCAACCTAATTGCCTCTAGGAGTCGGCAATGGAAATAAAACAAAAACACACAAGAAAAGCACGTACGGCAGGCATTTAGTTGGTGTACACCAACGCACATTCTCACATTCATTTCATCGTTAGTAAATCAAAACTTGAGTGGGAAATCTGGCGTACACAGTTTTTTTTGCATATGCAGCGTTGATACATGAGGCCCCAGGAGATTATGTTTTGCCCGCCAGGGGGGCATTCTTATGAAAACTACCAATTGATGGTATAGCTATTCTCAGAAGCTGAACCTGTTTTTTGTTCTGCCTTTTCTTTCAAGGGAGCCTCAATACTGCTGATGCTCAACGCAACCCTCAGAGATGGCGAGTTTCATAAAGGAGTGATTGAGTACTTACAAAACTATAATCTGTCAAACACAGAAAGCAAAGACTTATGGAACAGTCTCTCCCAGGTTAGACATTTTCTAAACGGCACATTTCAATGCTTTCATAATAAACTGTTATTCTCAGTGTCATGTGTTTTACATAATGATAGATGAGCTGTGTTGTTAATTTATTAGCACACACTGACCATGTTCTCCATAGGTGAGCAAACAAAGTTTAAATGTCTCTGAGATGATGAACACCTGGACTGTTCATAAGGGCTTTCCTCTGGTCACAGTCAAGAGAAACGGCCCTCAAGTGACATTGTCGCAAGAACACTTCCTTTTGAATGCCGAAAACGGCACAGACGACAGGTAGGGAAAGGACTTTTACTGCTACTGTGAGCAAGTCTCTAATAAATTAGGGCAAGATTAGATCTGTCCGCTTTGGCAGTGCTCTGTGTTCTAATTTAAGCTGCTGCGTTTTCTGGTCAATAAGTTGCAACTGACAATCAATAAGTCAAAATTGAATTGTGAAAAAAGAAACACACCAGTCATAAGTTTGGAGTAAGTAAGATTGTTTTTTAATGTTTTGGAATAAGTTTATTCTGCTAAAAAAGGCTGCATTTATTTAATAGAAAATACAGCAAAAACGGTGAAATTTTATTGCAATATTAAATAACTGTTATTTTATTACATGTACAGTAGTTTAAAATGTCGTTGATTCTGGTGGTCTAATGCTGAATTTTAAGCATGATTAATCTTTAGTTTCACTTAATCCTTCACATATTTTAGTATGATGATAAGCTCAGAAACTGATACAGTTCCTTTCAAAAGTAGCCAAATATTGATTTACCAAAAAAAATATATATACTAAAAATGGATTTACTTTTACTTTTGAACAATTTATTGTGATGAAAACAAGTAAATACATCTATAATGTAAAAAAAAATGTAAGAATATTTTAAACTTTTTTTTTTTCTGGAAAGTAAATTGTAACAATTTTTTTCACAAAACTATTAGTGATTTATACCAATAATAACGGATCATAACAGCAAATCATCATAAAATTATTTTTTTAAGGATCATGTGAAACTAAAGAGTAGTTATGATAAAAAAATAAAGCTTTGAATTACAGAAATACTTTACATTTGCAGCCTTGGTAAGCAGGTTTGCCTTCTTTTAAAACATTTAAACAATCTTTCTGATTCCTAACTTTTTACTTGTCACAGGCATTAGTGTAAAATGTAAACAGAAATACTGGTAACTTTAAGACAATAATTTAAACACACTATGCTGTTTGTTAAATACTTGCAAATAAACAAAGCATTTGCTACGGTATTAAAAACAGTAGGAACCAATTTATTTAAAGTAAATACAGCGCTATACAAATAAACTCGAGACACATAGCTCTCTCCTCATAGCATGACTTGACTGTAAAGACTGTACCTATTTGGAATATACATTTCAGCATTATGTTTTAGAATAAAGAAGTAGCTTGTATTGTGGAAAATGTCCAGTCTATGGTATTGTGGTTAAAGCAATGTTTCCTGATTCATTCAATGCTGTTTAGAGCAGGAAGATTCGATCGTCTGTGGGTGAAATTATACATCCCAAAAGAAAAGTCTCAGTTTTCATAATCCCTTTCTATCCTAGCCTGCCTTTTCCTATTAACAGTGAATGAAACTTAACGTTAATGGCATGTATTGTGATTATCTACCTTTTTATGATGAATTTGAATGAAATTTTAAGTCACTTTGGATTAAAACATCTGCTAAATGATTAAATGTGAAATGTAAATTGTGCAGTTTTATTTTAAAGCCTAATGTTGTAGATGTTTTTTAGAGCTTTTGTATATGGTTGTTTATAAACATTAAGGTTTTGCAGAGATGGGTTGCAGCTGGAAGGGTATCCGCTGAGTAAAACATATGATGGATAGGTTGGCGGTTCATTCCGCTGTGGCGACATTTTCAAAAAGAAAATGAACGAATGAATGAATAAACCTTAAAGTTGATAAGTTAATTGGTTATTGAATAATTTATTTATTAAGATGTTAAATTATTCAGCAAACGATACTTGAGTGGATTGTTCACCCAAAAATTAAAAATGCCATATGTCATTATTCTGTTGAACATAAAAGAAGATATTTTAAAGACAGCTAGAAAAATGTGACTATTGACTTCCATCGTATTGGTTTTCCTACTATGAAAGTCAATGGTTAGACATTTTGAGCTTTCTTCAACAAGGGAAAGAAACTCATAAAGGTTTAGAACCACTTGAGGGTGAGTACATTTTCAAGTTTGGTGAGCTATCCCTTGAAATGAAGTTTTCACAAACTACTAAGCAGAACAGATTTTTCCATGAGTAAAAATAAGAAATTATTAACTTTCTTAGCTTCAAATTAGGGCTACACGATATGGGAAAAATCGGAGATTGCAACATTTTGTTTTTCGGCGATATATATTGCGATATGAACACAATTTTACCAGGTCATTCATTTAGTTTGATTGAATTTGTAAGGGTGCGAACATGTATTAAAAATAATAAACAAATTGCGAGCAAAAAATAACTACAATGGAGCAACGAAAAATGTTAAAGACACAGTGCTATATGGTTTTTGTTTGTGTGCGAGTCAAAAAGATTTCATGTACAAACTGTGAAATAAGACTGATAATCTTTATTGTATTAATCCAGTAAAATTATTCTTCATTGAAGTTTCAAATGTACTTTTTGTCCCCAAATGCGTTAAACTCTCTTAAAATGCCTTTAAAACACACGCAAATGATAAATTTACTCTAAATTTATGTTACTCTAAAGGAATGTTTAGCAAAGAATCCACAAATCAAGTATTCTCAATTGTTGTGCTGATTAACTAAAATCCCAACTCAGCAGTGCATGTCCTGCTCCTGCGACTATTGTTGGACACACACACACATTGCAATATTGATGCTGAAACAATGTATTGTGCAGGCCTTCTTCAAATCTGTGTGTATAGTGAGCATTGAGAATCTTTCCAAAAACAAATGCAAATGTTACCCCCCCCCCCCCCACCCAACTAATGAGATTTTTTTTTTTTTATTGATAGTCTTTTTTGTTTAAAGGCAGACATTTCAATAAACAAAGTCAAAATGTTGATCTATTGAAGGAAAAAAAGAACTAAAATGAATAATATGTTTGTTGCCCATAGCAGCTTGTGGCATATTCCACTGACGTATGTGAATGACAGCTGTAGTGTGCTCCGTTCCTGCAAGCAAGTCTTTCATCTCAAGGACAAAGAAGGTGACAATGTGCTGACACAGACGAAACATTCCAACCACCGCAAATATGCAGCGTAATGTTGTTTGTTGTTTCAAATCTTTTCTAGCCACGTTACAGCTTCCAGGTCAGGTGAAATGGTTGAAGTTTAACTTTAGGAGTGATGGCTTCTACATAGTGCATTATGATGAGCAGGGATGGAGCGACTTGATTAGTGCTTTGAAGGTGGACGTGAATGTCCTCCCCTCTGAAGACAAGGCAGCTCTCATCAATAACATCTTCGCTCTCTCCAGGTACATCTTCTTTTAAAGAAATGTTGAAGAAAGGTTATTGCATGAGTTTTTTTAAGAGCTGATGATACAGAATTGCAATTACTTTTTGTGGTTTAGCTTTGAGATGAAACTTTGACATCTTTTTCTTTAAAGATTTTTATTTATTTATTAAGTTACCGTTGTTTCTGATTTCCACTAGCTCCAGCTTTTCAAATTGGTCGTGTAGCAACTTTCGACGTGTAGTAATTGGCCACTTATACATACAAAATGTAATTATTAAAAACAAAATGTGAATATGTGTTCATCTCCTTCAAAATTATTGACAAAGTTCTGTTCATTATTATAAAATCATTTTTGAATTCTTTATTGCGTCTTTTTTACCGAAAAGTGTTTAAAAAAATTAGTAAATAAAATTAATTCTCATCTGTAGCTCATTGTTTGATTGGACTGCATCACATCTATTTTAAAAGCCACAAATGCTCTAGGCATAGAAAAACACACCGTATTCAACTAATCAAGGTGTTCAAGAGCTAAACTCTGTAGAGCTGTGGCCCACCAGGAATTGAGTTTGAGACCATTGGTTTTGAAGGCATAGATCAACCTAAAATTAAATATACTCACTATTTACAAGTGGTTCCAACCCTTTTTAAGTTTCTTTATTCTGTTGAACACAGAAAAACAATTAATATAAAATAGTATGTTCAACAGTAGAAACTCAAATAGATTAGGAACCATTTGAGGGAGGGAAAATGACGACAGAACATGACTTTGTCATTTTGGTGTGAACTATCCCTCAAATTATAACTGTAATTTCTATATATAGATATGGTAAGCATGTTCTGGACTGCTCTACACTGAAAATGAATTATTACTCTTGTTATACACTGAAAAAATAAATCCATACATTTACAGGAATTTAACTGTTAAAAAATGTTAGGAACGTAAAAGAAATTTCAACATTTTCAGACATCGATGTTTTGAAGTTCTAATATCTACACAACTTAACTTTGTCACACAGACAAAATCACAACCATAAGCCAGTGTGGATGAGAAAGTCTTGATAAACCAAAGCTCATCACAAAAAAACTTTCTCAAAAGCAGAGAACAAGCATAATAATATAAAGAACACTCTGTGTCATGCACACAACTGTTAAACACACATCATTGTAACACACGTAAAGTTAAAGTAATGCAATATACATTATTTATCAACATAAAATAACTTTAAATAACTTAAAACTCTAATGTGCCCAATTCAAGAGAAAAAAGTTAAAAGAAACATTGTATTGTCAAAACAAAAGCATAAAAAGTCATGCAGGGAGTTCTAGGAAGGGTGAATGTATAATTATTTACTGTTTATTTTAAGGAAACTTGCTGTTAAACAAGTTTTTACAATAGCCTTTTTACAGTGTATGTTAGGAATGCTAAATTGTTTCCTCTTTCCTCCACAGATTGGGCAAAGTGTCCTTCAGGCAGGTCTTAAACCTCATGGACTACATCAGAAATGAGACCGAGACTGCCCCTCTGACTGAAGCTCTCTCTCAGCTTGGTCAGATCTACCGGTTGCTGGACAAAAGATCAGATCTGAATTTGGCTTCTAGTATGACAGTACGAAAACAAAAGTTAACTGTTGTAGTCCAATCTGTTATCTTACGACAATGCATTTAGTGCTAAAACCTTTTTAAAATGTGTTCTTTAAAGACTTACATCGAGAGCCATTTTGGGAGTTTGATGGAGAGTCAGTCGTGGGAAGTGGAAACTTCTGTGTCCAAGATGACGCTTCGCTCTGCCTTGCTGGAGACGGCATGTGCTCTCAATAGACCAAACTGCACAACACAGGCCAGACGTCTGTTTGATCAGTGGCTGGCTTCAAACAAGACTTTGCAGTAAGTGTTTGAAAAGTGAACTTTGACTCAATTATGCGTACAGTGCATAGGCCCTACTGGAATTGTTCCACTTCTTCTTCTTCTTCTTCTTCTTCTTCTTCTTCTCCTCTTCCTCCTCCCTAAACTATACATTTTTATAGAATAATCTTTTAATTACATATTTGAATCTTATTTAATAATTTTTTTATTTGATTTGATTTCAAAACTATGCAATTTTATCCTGACCTCTATCAGGGTGAAGCATTTGGGTTTAAATTTATTATTAGCTATATTGTTTTTATTATTATTATTATTATTATTATTATTATTATTGCTTTATTTGCTTTATTGTTTTTTTTTTTTTTTTTTTTTTTTTTTGTAAATATGGTACCGTCAAGTCAAGAAACACATTGTTTGTGGATTTATTGAACTTTGCTTATATAATTGATACTCAACTTACAATGACAATAACTAATTATTTGATTAAATTCTGTACAAGCTGTGTAGATTTTTCTTTAATTCTTTTGTTATATCTGAATTCTTAAGTAATTAATTTTGTCTGTGTTTGTACAGAACAGGATTAAGCACTAAAATAGGAAATGAAACTGAATTTAGCTGCAGTATGTATGTTGCCATAAAGCCAATAGCTACATTTTCATCCACCTATTTTTTTGTGCATTTTGGTTATGTGCATAAAAAACTGGTTGATGGAAACGCCAAGGTGCGCATACATTTTTAAAATAGCTGAGTAGGATAACCTTTTTATTTGATAAGAAAAAATGCACATAAACTACAATAGAAACACTTTTACCATAGAAATTCCAGTATGCGCGTTAAAAAGTCAAGTTATATTGATATAAGAGATCATGTGATGGGGAAAATGTGTGTGAATGGATAAACTAGCAGGCTGAGCACACTGTAAAACATCAAATCGTTGTTTTGGTCATTCTAAAATGCCTTAACCATGTCAGTATTAGTGTTATTATATTATAAATGCATAAACGCATAAAGTTAATTTGCATTTTTGAATGGAAACAGCTATTGAATCCTCATTGCAATATTTCTTGAAAACAGAGGATCATCTTATAATATGGCTTATTTTTCTTTTTAAGGATTCCCAGCGATCTGATGAGAACAGTCTTCAAAGTTGCTGCCAAAACAGATGAAGGATGGAGTAAGCTTCTAGGCTCTTATAAACACTCCATCTATGACACAGAGAAGCGCAAGATGTTGGAAGCTTTGGCAAGCACTCAGGATGTACGGAAAATCATTTGGTAAGCCTGGATGATCTGCTCTGTTGAATGGAAAATTCTTTCTGTCAGCACACTCGATACCAAGTTTATTTTGGCTTTCTGTCTTAGGGTCCTGCAGAAAAGTCTTGATGGGAGTGAGATTCAAAATCAAGAATTTCCTTTGGTGATCCACACAGTTTGCAGGGACTTTGCTGGCTACCTCTATGCTTGGGATTTTATGAAGGAGAACTGGGAAAAAATCACCCAGAAGTGAGTAGGAATTTTTCACACAATGTAAAAAAGTTCTGTTAATTAACAGTTTTCGTATTTGTGTTTTCAATATATTTACAGTTGTGAATTGCATTATTGGACCTTGATCTCTGCTGTCGACTTTTGATGTTGGAAATTCAACTTTACATTTTAACAAATTGACTTTTATGGACATTTTAGTAGTTTGAAATCATATAATGTATAAGAAAAAAATTATAAAGAAGTATGAAATTGTACTGGTGGTTTTTTACATGTTTTTGTAGCGTAATATACAACACCAACCCAGACAATATATCACTTTAAACTATTAAAAATTTTCATAAAAGTCACTTTTTCCAGCTTTTCAAGGTTAAAAAGTTGTTGGAATAAAGATCAAGTGCCCATAATGCAGTTCAAAAGCATCAATAAATGGGGAAAAATAAAAACATGAACACTGTTAATTTATGGATGTTGTTTACAGTGGCAGTTTAGGACTCAAGAGAACTTTGAGTTACTGAAGTATTTTGTTTTAAATAAAGTGTAATGACCCCACCCCCATCACACACACTTTCACTTCATGTCTACCTCAATATTTAAAAAAATAATGCCACCTTAATGAACAGGGAAATCTGTGAGTAGTAGGGAATGATAGGGAAACGTAAATGATAGGGTCATCATATTATCATATCACAATAATCTGTCCGAAGACGGTGCATGTTTTCATTCAAAGTTGATTTATCTGCAAAACAGGAATACCATATAATGTCTTTGAGAATAAAGCACAGTTTTCATTCAATGAGTGTAAGAGAACAAAATTGTCACTTCCTGATAATCTGGTGCCAAATGAGACCAATCTTTAGGAGTACAATAATATTGTTTGCAATATATGACTTTAATTTGACTTTAGGGCGACATGTTGGCTCAGTGGCTAGCACTGTCGCTCACAGTAAGAACATCGCTGGTTTAAGTCCCAGCTGGACCACTTTAAGTTTGCATGTTGTCCCTGTGTTCGCGTGGGTTTTATCCGGGTGCTCCAGTTTCCCCCACAGTCCAAAGATATGCGCTACAGATGGGTTAAATAAGCTAAATTGGCTGTAGTGTATATGTGAGAGTGTTTATTTGTTTCCTAGTCCTAAATTGCAGCTAGGAGGGCATCCGCTGTGTAAAACATATGCTGTAGAAGTTGGCAGTTCATTTCGCTGTTGCAACTTCTGATAAATAAAGGGCCAGTATAATGAACAAATTAATATGACTTTTTAGAATGACCAAAATGCCTGTTTCACATGCCTATTTTTGTTATACCATGATCTGTTAAAACAAAATCACATGATTTTCATAAAATATTTTTATGTATCATAAAAGTTATTATTGATAGTTTTTTACAAGCATTTTCAAAATTTGTAAGCATATAATCATTTCCTTTATGCATTTTTTATATGATGTTACAAAATGAACAAAAATAGGTGGGTAGAAACAGCTAATGGCAGACATACTGAATCTGACTAAAGATCTGAGGTAAAACATGTTGAAATGTCTTTTAGATTTGTAAATATTGTTTTCTGTTAGAATATGCACACTTTTGTTAAAAAAATGCACACTTGTGTTGCCATTCATCATCTGTTTGCATTGCTTAGCAATGTATAGCAAACAATGTGAAGAGGTGTACGAGGCATTGTGCAGCATAGATCCCCATGTGTGAGAGCCCCATGCTCTGCATTCAAATGCACAGTAAGCACTCATGTATACCGATGATAATTAGAGCCAATCACAATCACATCTGTTGAGACACAATGTTTAATCAACAGTGTTCAAGAATCAACCCAGCAGTAATTTCACAGTAATGATATTTTCACTGTATTTTGACCAATTGATGCAGCTTTAGTGAGCATAGACATTAAATAAAATGAAGTCAAGTCACCTTTATTCTATAGCACTTAATAAAATGTAGATCATGTCAAAGCTACTTTACATGAATGATGAAAAGTCATACAAATATTTCAGTTTGTGGGACATATTTGGCATATCAGGCAGGTTGCAGAGTAGTGGTAGAAAGCAAGTGTAAGTAAACTTAAAATAAATGTTTCCTCACCTTAACAAACAGATTGTGTTATGGTATTTATATTAATGTTTAATTGATTTGTATAGTGCGCTCTGCACTCTAATGTAATTATATTTTTTACAATATAATTAATACATATTAAACCTCTTTAACAAATAAATGTACTTGCTGAATGACTGATTTTTGTTGGCTTGCACTGAGTCACAGTTCCAAAGTTAAATTCCAAACGGTTTCTTTTATTTTCAAGATCTGAGGTGAACTATCTGCTGCTGCTTTCATTATGACAATAAATGTCGCGTATAATAGCATTAACTCACATTATTAGTATTTAACATGAAATAAAGCTCATATGGTGTATTTTAGAGGAAATTGTCATTTAACCTGTTGTTTAACTGTGAGAAATAGAAGCCGTTTCTAAAGTACACGTTTCACATGTTGGTTAGGACTAAAACTCCTTTTTTAAAAAAAAAAAAAAAAAAAATTATATATATATATATATATATATATATATATATATATATATATATATATATATATATATATATATATTCCTTCTATCGTGTCGTTGTTTTTAGTCTTTTTAGTTTTTAGGCTTTATAATCATCAGGGCAGGTTCAAATTTAACTAATTTAAATTTTGGTGAGTAAAAATGTGTTTTGAACAAGGAGTGCAATACCTAGTTCAACCACTGGGTGTCAAACTTACACAATGCACATTGTGAGTAGAGCTGCATGATTCTGGCTAAAATGAGAATCGCAATTTTTTTATTTTCTCACGATTCTGTAGATGTAAAATAAAGGTTAATATGAGTGGGCTATTATTATTGTTATTCTCAAACATGTGGTAAGACAGCAGAAGGCTTTGTGTAGCTGTACTGTTGGTTAAAATGCAAAATTTTGTGTAGACTTGGAATGGTGGACTTGAACAGACTTGAGATTTGTCCTGGTCATTAATGCTGATCATAATTCTGATGTTGAATTATTTTGTTTGAGACCTATGCTTACAATCTGTCATTTTCTGCTTAAAATCTGTAACTGACGTGATTTTTGTGAATACAGAAGACTGGGTGGATATTTGCATTTCGGTGGGTTTTGGATACTTTTTAGGCTGGAATCAGTCAGCTACATCTTGCAACACTGTGTGTGCACTTTCAATTTAATTTTCACTGCTAAGAGCGGTTCACTTCCTGCGCGGCTCCCAAACGATCACTCTGTCCTACAAACAGAATGTTATTTACAACCTGTGATTCACAGCATATGCAGGTTCTGTTCGCTAAAGTCGACTTCATTAGTTCATTCAGAGGCCTATGGCTCCCGCCCTCTCTGTGATAACAGCTGACGGTCAGCAGTTCACGTCAAGTGTGATTTTGCGGTCGCAAATACATTACATGAAGACAGAAATGACATTTTTGAGGTGAATTATATCTTATAAATACAGCATGTGACTCTTTCAACACCATTGCTGAACAACGCATGTAAAACAATGTGAAGACTTGTGCGGCCACCATTGCTTCTCTCCCGAACTTGAAAATATGATTGACAGAATTGAAGAAATGCTAGATTAAGATCGTCTAGGGAAGGGGTGTCAAACTCAATTCCTGGAAGGCCGAAGCCCTGCACAGTTTAGTTCCAACCCTGCTCCAACACACTTACCTTTAGGTTTCAAACAAGCCTAAAGGACTCAATTAGTTTGATCAGGTGTGTTTAATTAGGGTTGGAACTAAACTGTGTAGAGCTGCGGCCCTTTTGGAACTGAGTTTGACACCTGTGGTCTAGGGGGTCGAATCGAGATTACGATCTTTTTACGATTAATTGTGCTGCTCTAATTGTGAGTATGAATGGACTTTTTCTTGTTTTTGTTTTTTCATATTAGGTTTCCTATTGGATCCTTTGCCATTCAGAGCATCATCACATCTACAACAAGTCAGTTTTCTACGAAAACACATCTCGCAGAGGTCTGTTCATAGTCGAAATATCATCATTATGTGAGTATGCAATGTTTTAGCATATTTGTTCAACATTATTGCTGTTTTTATTCATTCAGGTCCAGAACTTCTTCAGCTCCTTAGGAGCAAAGGGCTCTCAGATGAGGATTGTGCAGGAAGCCATTGAGACCATCAAGCATAACATGCGTTGGATGGAGAAGAACTTGAACACGCTCCAGAGCTGGTTGTAGTGCGAGTGAGAGGTCCCATGCCTCTTACTCCCTCAGGTGAAAAGATTTATGGGTCAACAACCAGAGCTAGAAATGTACAAACGTTAGGTTTAGCTTGAGACAGACGGGCAGGGTTACTTGGATGTAAAGGGCCATTAAAAAAAAAAACATTTATTTTCAGGGCAACTCTTAGGGAATTATCCTGAGCTGTGAACTAGCCAGAAGCTTGCCAATTATCTGCCTGATAGCATTTAGCCTAACTTCTGTAAATGAACAAGTTTGGATATTATTTGCAATGTGTTTTCTTTTTTTTTCTTTAAGTTCTGAGATAAATGAATCCATTAAGTCAGCATAATATGATTTCCTGTATGATAACCTTAGCGCTTGTTGATGCGTTGTCTTTGCGGTTCACTTGAGGCAGTCCGGCTCAGTTATGAGTTTGGCTCAGGCCTCAAGCACTATTTGCACTATTCTAAGGTTCAGCTTGCTCAGGGCACATCTGCTTGTTGTTGAAATTACATGTTGAATTTAAACTCTTGATGTTAGTGGCTAAAAAACCAAAACCTCCCATCAGCATCAGCATGTTGGACAGTTTCGCCAAAATGAAGAACTGCTGTTTTCTTCAGTACAACATTAAATGCATTTTAGATTAAACTTTAATGATAATTCATAAAATGAAAGTCAGCAGCTTCCGGCACTTAAGTGTAAGAAAAAATAATATTATATGTCTCTCCACAATTATGCCTCTTGTACACTGTCGAGTTGTCATTTGGGAGATACCTGTGTCAGGATTTGTCCAGAGTCAAGATGTTATATTGAGGTCCTGTTAATTGAACATGTGGGTTAAAGGTAATATTATTGTAAATAATCTTCACTTTCTTGCAAGGACAGGACAGATCCTTTCAATTCGTAAGACCTCAATGCTTTGTCAGGAGTCATGGGTATTCATTTTGTTTTGATGGAATGCGTTTTTTCTTTTCTTTTTTTTTTTTGACTTGTGTTTTGAATCACTAGTCAGCTGAAAAACCTTTTAAAAAAGTAATTTACTCTTGAAAGGCTTAAAGGGTGACATTTTCTTTTTATTTGGTGAACTATCCTTTTAAATATCCCTATAACATGCATTGGCTATATTCAGTTGCTGAAAGCTGAAGTCATGTCACAAGAAAAGTGTCACCACAAGTATGTGGAGGTGAATTTAATCATGTTAAGGCTCTGTAATGCTTGTATGCAGGACTGTGTACATGTTCTTGCCTTACAAATCTTCAATACTTTGGTCTTTTGCACAAGATTTGTTTTTAAATTTAGTGTGTATATTATCTATTGTTTTTGCTGGTTTGCAAATTGGTAAAAAAAAAAAAAAAAAAAAAAGCCTTCTAATATGTGGATTTTATTTTGTGTTTTGCTATGCACATGCTGATGGACCTTCACTATTTAATATTTTGTTGTTTTATATATATATATATATATATATAAACAAGCAAAATGGCAAAGATATAGTAAGATAAAGTTTAAAGTCTATTGTTTTATTGTTTGTGCATAATTGACACGTATAAATATGTTTGAGATCTTTAGTTAATGGTAGTCTAATATTGTTACATTGTAGAACATGTGTACAAGATAGAAAGGGTCTCTAGAGTCACATCACTGATGGAGAGTTGTTACTTGTTTTTGTTTTGTTCATCATTTGTTATCGCTGGTTGCTACTGATAATGACACAAGGATTGCAGTGTATGATTTTTAAATTTCTTTTACAATTTCACTTTTTTTTTGCTATCCAGGAATTGTTTTTAAAGATTGCTTTTAGTTTGTCCAAAAATAGGGTCAAAACAATATCATCATGCATGTGTAAAGATGCATTTTTATTCACCTTGTTGTAAAGTCAAAATACAGTCCACAAATACGCACAAGATGCTTTGCTTTAATCTATGAAAATGGAGTATTTATCCTAAAGCGACACTGAGTGTGAATATTTGTGCATTTTTATGCATCCATTTTTGATATTATTTTAGTTTGGTTAAAAAGATGTTTAAATCTGTAAAGTGTGAGAATCTGTTTTTATTTGAAAAATTAATACACTTCCGGTGTTTTTGTTTTGTTTTTTATAGCTCAGCAGGTCAACCTCATAAAACACCAGATATGATTGGTACATTGTAATACAGCTGGTACATTGTAAATATTTTGTATGTAACAGTTGTTGTTTTGCTCATAAGCTTTATTCATGCATATATGATAGAATTGAATGACAAGCATTTAAAGGAAGGACAACGGCAGCATTGTTACACTGTAATGGACACTTTTGTCAGGTTTGAGCGTTACAGTCATCAATGAATGTATTTGTGTTTTTTTTTTTTTCTATAGATCTGTTTAAACACAAGCGTTAGGATTGTAATTCCCTTGTATCTGTATTCAACTGACTAATTAAAGAACAAAGTGTTAAAAATAAATGTCGAATTATTTCCTGTTATTATTCAGATGTCCTCCTATAAACCTGTGGATGTATGTGTCCCTCATGAGGCATTGTTTGTGTTACTGGCTGCCGTTCAAAAAAATAAGTACTTCTTTATTGTTATTTATTTTTTTTTTCTGAAATGTTTTCTTTCGCCTCTAATAGACTGATTTATAAAAAATGCTGGTTATTTCTGGCAAAACTCTTGTTGTTTGTTTTCTTTTTAACCCTGACAGCTAGTTTAACAGGAAAAATATTGCTTGCTTATAAAATGTTACTTTAAAAGTTTTTTATGCCTGTGGAAAATTTGGAAGTGTTTATTTGAACAGATTGTGTGTGGAAGTGTCTTGATTATTTTATGTTGTTAATCAGCTTTGCATTGGGTTTGGATCCTGAGTTTTTAAGATGTTGCTCAACACTGACTCTTTATAAGACAATAACAAAAAGAAATTATAATAAAACATTTTGTGCACAAATTTCACAAGTTGTCTTTCCAAGCATTCAGTAGATGGCACTGTCTTCATTCTTATTTTCTTGTTGTTTTATTTCTCATGAAAATACTGGGGCAAAGATTGAGAAACAACATATTTTACATTAGTATATTATATATTAATATAACCCATTAGATAAAAAAATATTATATATATATATATATATATATATATATATATATATATAATATTTATTAATATATCATAAATATATTTTTAAATATTAATAATATTTAATTAATGCTGTTTTTTATATTCTATTTTTATTTATTTAAAAAAAAATTTTATATTTCCCAAATGATGTTTAACAAAGCAGACATTTTCACAGTATGTCCAATAATGTTTGTTTGTTTTTTCAGCTAGAATAAAAGCAGTTTTTAATTGTTTTAAAAGCGTTTTAGGGTTTATGTATTGTTTAGTTAATTTGTATCCTGTAGTATTTATCATGGTATGTGTTTTCTTGTCATTTCAAAATACCACTTTATTTTATTTTGGGAAAGGTGTGTGTGTGTGTGTGTGTGTGTGTGTGTGTGTGTGTGTGTGTGTGTGTGTGTGTGTGTGTGTGTGTGTGTGTGTGTGTGTGTGTGTGTGTGTCACATTTTTAGTGAATTACATTTGTTGGGGTTGGTTATATATTTGAGAAAGAGAAAATGTTGACTTTAGCGATGACGAGGCTCCATTTAAGTGAAGTTTATTCATAAACTAATTTCGAGAGGAGCTCGTGATTATGATTGAACACGGCTGGTTCTGCATTAGCATGCTTGATCCACCAATCTTGCGTGGGTTTTCCCCAGGTCCTCCGGTTTCCTCCCACATTCCAAAAACATGTATAACAAGTTAATCGTTAAATATAAATTTCAATACAGGTAATCGAATAATGCAGCATATCTTTTAATAGCCTTCAATCTTAATCTTTAGCTATTATAAAAAGGGGAGTTGTCGAGATCTACCTGAGCTCGAGGCTCCCCTCTCTTCCTCCAAACGGGAGGGAGCCCAGGGCTCAAGAACCTTCGAGCTCAGGGCTCTCTCCTGGGACAGCATGCCAAACTTGCTTATAATCAATCATCAGCTAAGTGTGAACTCTTGAAACAGCACAAGATGTCGTCTGACAACGAGGGGAAATGCCTCGCTGCAGTTGTTTTCCATCCTATTAGATCGCATTTTTAAAATAATTAGTCCAGGAGGTAGCGCTGATCGACAGCAGGGTTAGTTCAAAGATGTTAATAGCAACTAAAATAGATTAAGACAATCGTTTCAAAGCTGTCCGAATGTCACTCTTTATACTCATTAGCTGCTGACCAGAAGTTCTTAGCATCCTTCTTGCACATGCATTGAAAGCATAATGGGTATTTTTGCAGATCTTACAATAAGTAGACACAATAGTTTCAAAGCAGCTTTAGATGAAGTTCTAAAAAATTAAACTGCTTCCGTCCAGTTTTTAAAGATGAAGTTCAGTGTAATATAAATGTCACTGCTGAAAGGCAAATTCAATGATGCGTAGTGCCACTAGCCACGGGACAGTTGTGAGAAACAAACTTCACCAATTGGTGAAAACGAAGTCAAAGACAACACAAATTAACATCAGTTTTTATTATTAAGCGAAAACAAAATGCAAAACTACACAACCCTATTAGGAAAAAGTGTTTGCCTCTAATCAAATAATAAAGCGTAGTGTTTTAAGTCTTGGAACTTTATTCGTTGAATCTAAACCTACCCACAAACCAATTTTTAATCAATAACCATACCACTAATTCACCGCTGAATTAATTGTTTCACTATAGCAGCAAAATTGTTTTGCAATACAACATGTACAAATCATGCTAACAACTGTATAAGTACTTCCAAAACTAAAAGTGCATGCTTAGTTATCATGAGGCACATAAAGTCGATAAGTATCTGAAATGTTTGGCATGCCAAAATCATATGTTTGACCTATTTTTTTTTTTTTTTTTTTTTTATACATAAAATAAATGACCGTTGAGGGCACAAGCAATTTATCACACAAGGTGGTTTTGGCCTGCTTATTTTATTATTCTTATTATTATGTAACTGTGTGTTAGCACTTGCAAGTCTACCCATTGTCACCTATACTACACTCTCTCTTTTTCAGCAGTGGACAGATGCTTTTCTTTTTTTGTTTTTATTTTATTCTTTGGTTTTCAGTCAAATGCCAAGGTCTAGGCTCTGATACTTAGACTGTATGGAGAAAGCACTGTTTATGCGAAGTGCTCTTCTCTGATTTCACTGTCTCCCACACTGCTTGGTAATGTAGCTGTAACTACTGGACTTCTACTGATTTTGCTTCATTTGACTTGAGATTTATATTTTGACCACAGGTGACAGGTGGCCTCAATTGAACTCTTAACTACACTCTCCAGCCACTTTATTAGATACCTGTTTGCACCTGCTTTAACACTTTGCAGTATATTCAACAGGGTGCTTGAAACATTCCTTGGTTGTGCTTCATTCTGACACTACAGAATCATTTAGTCTCAATTTGATGTTGTGAACTAACAGGAGTTTCACCTATGTGCTTTTTTTCAACAGATGCTGTTTATGGAGCTCTGCTGTAATATTTGGTTATTTCAGTTTCTGTTTATTTAATTTTTATTATATATTTTTTTTTATTAATTTTACCTTAGCATTCTTAACCATTCTCTCGCCTTCAGTGATCTATTATTGTGCACAGAGCTACTGCTCACTGGCTTTTTAAACTATTTGATTCAATATAACTTAATTTCTCTAGCACTTTTACAATGTAGATTGTGTCCAAGCAGCTTAACATAAAAGTTCTAGTAAATTGAAAATGTGTCAGTCCAGTTTTTTAGAGTTGAAGTTCCAACACAGTTTAGTTTCACCGCTGAAATTCCAAAACACAGAAGAGCAAATCCATTGATGAGCAGCTCCACAAGTCCCCAACCAAGCAAGACAAAAGTTCACCAACTGACTAAAGTAAAGCGAGAAAAAAAATAACTCAAAGAAACCAAATTCAGTTGGGAATGACCATTCTACACTGGCCAAACTTCTTACGCAAAGCTGCAGTCTATGTGCCAGAGGCTGGAAAATGTTGGTTGTCTATCATGGACAACTGCAGGAGTGAGTAGATCAATGCAGAGACTCGTCTGTCACTGTCTTTCAGAAGGTATTTCTTTATAGGTTGTACATTAAAATCCAGTTTTTCCTGTTGGCTACCTACAGATTCTTTAAAATGTTTTCTTTAACCACGGAGGATGACAGGTTTATCCTATCACATTTCCTTTCATTCACAAATAAATATTGATTACTTTACATGATGCAGATGCTGTGGACAAAAAAGTAAAGAACACCAGTAAAAATAATCTTTCCCATGTTTTCAGTGTTTAAAGTTAATGATCCAAATAGTCTTCCAGTAGTAAAATACTTTCATATTTACAACGAGTTATTAAGCAGACACTTTTGTCCAAATTGACCTGAAATTAAGCCTTTTAGTGATTCAACAAGTGACAATACACAAAAGATGTTTTGTTTACACTGTTACTATTATACTGTTGTCATTGTAACTGTTAGTGCTCAAAGAATTTGGAGCTAAAATAAGGAGGGAGCGTTTTTTTTATTCATTTTTTATATGCGTTCAGGGGATTGCGTGATCAATGTTTTTTTTTTTTTTTTTTTTTTGTCGATTGAATGATACTAGTGAATCTGCATTCCGTGTGGAATAGGAAGATCATTCCTCAGCGTAGAACAGAGAATGAAAAAGTTTTGGAAACTGACATTGGAAACTGACATAGAGGGGTCTGGCTGCAGACCTGGTGCAGTGCAATCTGAGCTGCATCCAATGCTTTTTAATGGGCTCACCTAACCCTACCCCTCACAGGGATGATACTCGCTCCATTTAAGTGCATTGTGTCTGACGTTACATCACTGATGGATGCAATCGCAGCTTGCATCATAAAAGCTGCATTCAGATACTATCAAAATGCAATGGTTCCACAAGGCAATACTCACTCCCCAACCAGAGGCTCATTGAGGAGAAGCAGACCTTCAGGAGGAGTTGGAGGTAGAGATGGAGAGATAAGTAGATGTTACATGGGTCTCTTGTGCTTATAGAACACCAGATGATATAGTCTACATGGCTTAAATTAAAACATTAAATTAGGTTAACTAGAACTACACCAGCATTGTACAATTACTCTTATCTGCCTTACTGGAATGTTCCACTTTCTGAAATATATATTATTCTGTTCATCTGGTATGCATTGACAAAATCTACAATGCAAAAGTGCTATAGAAATAAAGAGGAATTTAATTGATCCAAAGACAACCCAGGCTCATTGGAAATGTGCCCAGGGCTACATTCTTTTGAGAACCAATAAGTATGTGCCTTGGACTACGTTTTTTAGCAGTTTTAGTTTCCACAAAACCACTAGACACTGCTGTCTACATTTTTGACAATCTCAAATATGTTACTGGGGGCATATTGTCTCGTACATTCCAAAACTCATACATCTACCAGAGGCCGTATGTATGTTTCTGGTCATCTCTCGATGTCTTTCTGGCTTGCGTCCACCATGCATAATGTATCAGCTTGATATCAAATGATCCACCCACCCCCTTTCCTAAACCCAGTTGATAATGTTTTCAAAAGCAAACTAGAACAGTGTTGCCAACATAGCTACTTTGTAGCTATATTTAGCGACTTTTCAGACCCCCCTTGCGATAATTTTTCAAAAGAGCAACTAGCCCCAAATCTAGCGACTTTTTTTGTGTTACTTGAGATTTTTAGACTGTCGTTTGTCCATACTGTACCGTCCCTACTCTTCACAACAAGCTGCGGGTGATGCCGTCGGCCCCTCCCACGCCTCAGAGCACTGACACATGGCCAGACCTCGTACAGCAGTCTTTCATACCTGCAGCCTGAGAGCAGATTACACCTCTGCGTACCGACGTCAAATGATTTAGCACAGGCAGTGTGAAGGTATTTCCCATGTACAGTGAAACCGATCTGCTTC